ACATCTGTTTTACTTCTTTGCATCTTCCACATGCTCCAACAACTTTGGAGATGGCTTCACGAGAGCAAGAACAGTATCAGCCAAGCAGATAGACCCTATTTTCTCACCCTTTTCAAGAGGTCCTTATATGCCGAGACAAAACAAGATTTTGAGAACTGCTTCAGTGAACTTTTGAATGATGGCCGTTGGAAGAAATACCCAAATCTAGTCAGCTATTTGCAAAATCTATACAATGACAAGGAATCGTTTGCTCTATGCTTTAGAACTGAACTGCCTGTTAGAGGGAACCACACCAACAATGTTGCCGAGGCTCAGTTTTTGGTTCTTAAGGATGTAATTCTGCAGTGCACCAAAGAGTACAATGTTGTTGGGCTTCTAGACAAGCTGACTATTAATCTAGAAGATCACTACAAGAATAAGCTCCTTAGTATTGCTGATGGGAGTTTTGATGGCGTGTACAGACATCGATTCTTTGGGAAAGGGAAAGACGGAAGCACAGGGTTTAAAGTCCCAGATAAAAAAGATCTTGATGCCTACATCTCAACTGTAGCGAACTTTGGCAATAATGTATTCAAAGTTGGAAGCTCTTCAGATAGCAGTCACAGGTCAGTAGTGTTTTTTCTTCGCCGTCACAATAGCATAACGCTCTGGTGGTACAAGAGGGCATGTGTGGGTGGCCATTATTTTCCTATCTTTCCCCCATTGCCCGATTCAAATTATCTTGATAGGGCAAGCAGGGGGGCAGCGTTTCTAGGCTCCTCCCCTTTGGAGCAAAAATACATAAAACATGGGGACATAACATGCATAACATATGAGATAATTCCTGCAGTTCATCCATATGCTGCATTTCAAGGATGTTGATTTAGCATAAGGAAGACCAAAACATGACTAATATATTGTCCAGGGGGTGGGGTACCTTTAGTAATTTCCCTTCTTGGCAGGGTTATTGAGTTTTTTATAGCAGAGTAAGAGCAAGCCCTTACTCTGCTGTTAGGAATATTTCCATTAATATCTTAGTGGATCAACCAGTTGAAGGTCTAGAATGTATCTATTACAGATTGAAAAACAAAAATTCCAGTTGTATTGAGATATTTATGAAGTGTCTCATTGGTTCTTTGTCAGTTATACAGTGGACATGACTCTTGGGATATGTAGCTGCACGGTTGGTAAAGACGGGAGCCCATGCAAACACCAGTATGTCCTGTGGGTGGCAAATCTAGCAGACTGCATAAACTTCACTCCAGTCAGTAATCCACATGAGAGGCAGAAATTGGCCTGGCTAGCAATAGGAAAGACACTTCCTGTTGCTTGTTATAAGCCATTACGCTCTAGTGATGCTGAGCAAACATCACAAACTGATGGTTCTAATGGTTTTGTAACAGAGGCATCCACTAGTATGGAAACAGCACAACAAGGGCCAAACTGCTGCACTGCTGAACCAATACAGAGCAATGATGATGATGAGGATGATTCCATTGCAAATGCTGAACAATTGTTGAGAAACTCTTGTGAACAAATAATTCAAAAGCTCCAAAGCTCAAGAGACCTTAATTTGGCTAAAGGTGTAATCAGGTTCGCAAAAAGGGTAACATCCTTAACCGCTGCTAGATCTATGCATTCTAATTTGGCAAGCGCTCTTTTTACTTTTGGGTCCAGTGAGGTGAAAAAAACCGGAAATGGAAAAAAGATCCGGGTCCAGCCGAACAGAAAACGAAAGTGTGGTAGTGGAAGCCGTCAGGTTGTATCAAAAGGGCGACCAGTACAACTTCAAGAACCCACCTCCAAGAGGAAGCGCAGCCATGACTTGGCTAAAGCAGTACAAACAAACACTAAAAGTAGTAAGAAGTCTGGGTCCCATACTATGAAATCCAAGAAAAAGCACATGCAAAGGAAAAAATAGGAAAACAGAGAAATCTTAGTGAATAAACAATGGAATGTTCGCATAATGTTTCACTTAGAGAGAAATTCACTTAAGGCAAATTGCCTAGATTAAAAACCTCTCTCCTTGCATCTGCCCCTGAACAACAAGGTTATTAAAAAGATTGAGGTTTTGACATTGTAAATAAGTTTTAATTCATTTTTCCTGTTAAAATCTAACACAACATTTGTAATGATTTAAAATTTGGTTTGAACAGTAACATGATGTACATGTGCTGCAATGACCACAATTAATTTCAAAAATCGATAATAATAATAATAGTAATTTAAAAACAAAAACAATTATGTATTATAGATTGATCCAATAGTCCTTTCAAATCATCTCCAATTAAAATCACTAAATGCAGGATAGGTTAACTAAACATGTGACTTTTGGTGTGTTATAAGATTTCGTTTCTCAGCAAAAGTCTTTTGACAATGATCACACTTGTAGCTGTCTTTATGTTTCTTGTCTTTATGCCTTTTTAGCTTTTGCTCATGGTCAAACGATTCATTGCATTCCTCGCAAATGCACTCATGACAACCTTTCTGGTGGTATTTAAAGTCCTTCTCCCTTGTGAAC